TCACACGGTCCCCATCCTGGAAGGCGAGTACCACCGACAGCACCAAACGCTCCGTGATTTCCTTCATACATCTCTGCCAGGTCCACGTTTGGCCATCTCTCTGCTTCCGCCACTGTGAGTCTGGCAAGGGAAATAGCCCTCTCTTCGGCAAACGATGGCTAAGCATACGCAACACATGTCTCGACCAATGCAGTTTCTGGTGCTTGACAAATTCTTCAATGGAAGTACCCGTCGCACAACCGAAAACACGCTCTCTAACACCAAATCACACGAGCTATGTTTCTGAGACAACGATTGTCGAGCACCTGAGGACGTCTCAGTTCCGCTGCTCGAACAGATTAAGTCTCACAGCCATACAACAAAACAGCCCGTACTGTAGCTTGATACACACGTCCCTTGACATTCAGAGATACACCACCCCGACACCATAGGTGTCACAAATTAGCAAATGCGACCGAAGCCTTGCAGATTCGTGCATTGACCTCATTCGTCACACTATAGCTGGAACTAATACAACTTCCGGGTTATGCAAAACGCTCCACAACTTCGAATGCCTGGCGTGTTCAGTGACTGCATGTCCACGAGCATGACCTGACATTTTGTGGGTGAAAAGTGCATATCAAAGAACGGGATGACTTTGGTCATTTTATCCACGAATATTTGCGCCTCCAGCTCCTCTCCGAACACGAGAACGACGTTGTCTGCATATTCCAGATCAACAAGGTTTTCGTCATAGGCTATTTGAACACCGTAGTTTTGGAGACCTTCCAGCGTTCAACTCATGATTTCATCGATCACAAGGGTAAACAGGAATGGGGAGAGTGGACATCCCTGCAGACACCGCTTTGTGTACGGAAGCTTTTCGAGAGCTCGGCGTATACCCTCACAGGTCTGGAAGTCTGGAAATACAAATTTAGCAGGCTGAGGAATGCAGAAGTAATATCCCCAAGAGAACCTAACGATCGGCCTTGTCATGTTAAGCACGGATCTCGCTGTCACAGAAATGTTAATCTCCGTTTTTATTGCTCAGCTCGTGAATGTTGGTCAAAATAATCCGTCAGTGCTGTGTTACACAGCCTTGTAATCCTGTCAGTTATCAGTACCTGAATAGCAACTTTGTCGCATCTTAAGTTTGCCGGTGAATTGTTGCATGTCCGGTGATAGTGCCATCATAATCAGTTATCAGTACCTGAATAGCAACTTTGTTGCATGTCCGGTGATAGTGTCATCATAATGTCGCTGTGAAATAAACTAAGAAAGAAGTGACCCAGCAAGGAATCGTGAGAAGCTTTCCGGTTAGCTAATCAACTATTTGGATACTGAATCCTAGCTTCCATCAGGTGGCTAATCAGAAAACCAGTGAGTCGAAATGTTTACTCGCACTCAAAAACTGGTGCTTTTTTGTGCAAAATATGGCAATCAGTAGCGCAGACACAGACCACAAAGGCGATCAACAACTTCTTCCAGAAATCATTAACCAGTTTGGCCAAACTAAAAATTTAGGCATGCAGACTCATATTTGTTCGTTCTTGTATACCAAGACTTATAAGTGGGACCCAGTGTGTCAGTGAACGGCTTCACAAAAACAGTCCGCAGTAAGTGGAAAAATCTAACAAAACTCAAGGCCTCTTGTTAAGATACGGTGAAGTGTTGAACCGTGCTCAGGTCTCCGTCTTCAGCTCATTGATTTTCGCGGGTTGGCAGACGTATGAAATAGGAAGCGAGTATGCTTGCCACGAGTTCGACATTTTTACTATTGTTGGCGTTTCCAAACTTTTTTGATCCCCATTTTAGTAGCTGAATTATGTAGGGAATTCATTGCGGAGCAAAGTTGGCATTCGTCGCTTGATGACAAACCTTTTTGTCGTGACATCGACGACGGTGCACTGTAGTACTTCCTTATTATTTGTTACTTCATCAAACTATGGAAGACCGCGTTTTCACCTGCATTTATCTGCTGTGTAGCTCAGACTCAGACTTATAAAGTTTTCCATTTGCTGATCCGGCATTATACTACATATCAAGCGCTTGGAACTTCATATTCATATGCACAGTTTCACGGCAGCTGTTCCATTCAGTGTCGTGTCCAGGAGGTTTTCTGGAAGCATATGGCTGCCCGTTGTCCCGTCCAGTAGAATTCAAATCACTGGCGAGTGCTGCAGAACTAAACTCATGCGAAGATTCCGTCCAGCCCGCTGGTATATGTCCTTCACATGATCAGCGGAGCTCGCCAAGGGAAACCTCTGTTCGAAGGCATCTTAAAGCTTTAATTGTGGTTGCCTAGTAATTTTATTTCCAAGACGGCAACGAATCATCCGAAATTCAGTACAGTCTCATGATTCAATTTGAAGTAGCAGCTGATGATTTACGTGGACACGCCCAGATCACAACGGCCCGTGAAGAGGAGTTCAGACGTTTCAATAGAGTAACGCACTTGCAGATCTGTTTAATAGATGATGCTGAGGGAGACACCGATTAATCAGTCGAATATTTCCGACAACGGACAAATCTCAATTGTTCCAGACAGCTCTTGGTTGCATGTTTGCGTTAACAGCTCCAGTTAATCTACTCTTTCCAACATGCTATTTTTGTCACCTGATTTCCTGAAAACACCGGTAGAGATATGCGTCTCAAGAATGTAACACAATGCCAAGATACAGCTGACTCACCACCTGTCAGTCTGTACTTTATATCACTTGAGCGCAGGGTTTCCCATCTAGTTTATAAGTAAATTTACTCTTGAATCCCTTACTGTGTTCTTTGATGCCCTATCACATTCCTCCCCTTTGTACTCTTACATCATTCGGCTAAGGAACAAGCTGTAACATGTCCAGTTTCTACTATCAGAATCCGGTACACCCAGTGTAAGTGCAGCGCTGCACACCCACACTTGTATCCCTGCAAGACTTTGCGCAATTCCACTCATGAACCGTTACTTCCACTCCCAATCGTTACACTACTTCTATCCTGGCCGTCGTCCATCTCGATCATGATCAACCAGGCCGAATAACTTTTTGTCCGAAATAACTAAGTCATTAGATGTTAAAATTTCCACGGATTGCATACCTTTGCCGTTCCTAGTGCCCTCGCCAAAAGTTTACTAGTGAATTTACCAAACCTGTCTTGCTCTCTACCAAAGGTGACTAGAAGTGTATCTTGAAAATAGTGCCTCAATGTTTCGAGTATGTGGAACTCCGTCCCCTCGCTACAACGCGGACACCGAGTCGATATTAGACACTTAGACTGCCTCTTTTTACGGTATTTTACGTGGGATTTGATGTATTGTGTGATCTATTGTAACGGAAAGCGTACACAGCAGTGCTGCATCAACCATAAGATTTTTGTGCTGGTACCACATGTCTTCTGGGGGTGAGCTGTTTCTTACGCTTTCTTGTACGACAACCGCGTGTCTTCCTCAAGTGTTGTGGACGACAGTGTGTATAAACCCATCCAAGAGAGTTTGTTGGTGAGGGGGAAACGAGTGGCTCTACGGAGACTCGTCCGATTTACCAATGGGGTACCGACAATTATCCCGGTGAATTCAAGCAGACAGCGCTGAGCCCTGCAGAATCCCACTTATATTAGATAGTGAGCCAGTGTGCCCCTCACTCTAATACTAATGACCCGACCTTCGCTCCGTTAAACATTAGGTTTACTTGGTTCATTAGATGATTTCAGGATCTTTTTAGGCTGGTCTTGGCGAGTCCCGCCGGTTGCATCAGGTTTAGGGTCGGATTATTTACGAATCACGTCTTCATTATGCTTATGGACTAACAGTACCCAATATTCATACAATTTACAGCAGATCAGTGAATGCCCCTGATTTGGCTGACCAGATCAACTAACGCCACGAACAATAGTTTGGGCAAATGAACAGAAATAAACCAATACAATTCGTTTGGATAGTTTTCTTTAGCCTTAGGAAGGGCAGTTCACTAGCTTGTGCTGAGTCCGATCTTCCAGCTAGCCATTTTATTGTTATAGATTGATGCCCGTCCCGCCTGAGTTGATAGCGGTGCCTCCACTTTACTTCTGAGAGCGTGCGCCTCGCAAATGTCTGTGTACTTGGCTCTGGGGAGAGCGGGCAACAGTGGAGCATCTTATCGCCT